CCAAACGACTGTGATCGAAACTCCCTGAATGTGTGCGCATGTGTTTTTTTTAATTTATTTTATACCTCTCTATAGCTATCCTCTTTCCGACCCTTTTCCCCACCCCCGTACAGGGTAGCAAACCAGTTCGTCTAGGTTAACCTCCCTGTCTCTTCCTTTTAATTATTTCTCTCTCTCTCTCTCTCTCTCTCTTTGACTAGGACATAACGTATTTTTCAAAAATTTGTTGGCAACACTGCGTCAATCCCTTTCCTCCACAGAGTTTCCTAAATATACACTAGAGAGGACTCTGGCGCTAGTGTCTAGGGGAGCTGCAACGCACGGCACTTCATCGAGCATGGGAATGAGGGGCAGTGCACAAATTTGTCGAATTTTCATACTTCTGCAGCTTCATGTGTGTTCGTGAGGCTTGGAGCTGTTTTCTAACGAAACGAAAATCAACAAATTATCAGTGGTTGCGCTTCACCCCCTTATTTTTTAGGCTTGCCTTTACAAATCTGGTCATGAGGTTCAAAACGGTTTGTTCTTTTCTTCAAAATGAAACCGAAACACAACAATAAACGAAGCCACAAGTGCGATTCGCCACTCGCAAGTACGAAGACTATAGGCAATTTTGTGTACTGCTCATCGTTTCTATTGTCGCTTAACAATCGCATGCAGCGCCAGACTTCCCTCTAGTTGATTTTAGGAAACTCTAGGCTTGCCTCCAGCCAGTTGTAGTTTATACGGGCTGTGGTGGGCGAGTATCCGCTACAGGTGATTGTACAGTTGATATCTACACAGGAACGGTGAGAACAAGCATTAGTAAATTAAATGCGAGAGCCTGAAAGAAAACGAAGCTGCTTGGTTGTACTTTTTCTGCTTCAGCAAGAATTAGACATGCTGTTTTCGAAATATTTCGGCGCTATATTCAGCCTATAATTAAAGTCACTCGTTAGAATTACAGTTTTTTGGGGTGCCTAAGCGATCATGTGGTACTACCGGCCGCCATTAGCATTAACGTGTAACTTCAGTGTATTGCCATCATAAGATAAGTCATAAACACAGCGTTAGCTTTCTTTTTGCTTTAAAATATTATTTTATGAAAACCTAGAAAAACAAATACACAGCAATTTCCGCACTCTAGCTGTATACTGTGTAAGTACAGCAAGTTATCTGCTTGGTTCCACTTTCAAGTGCATCCCGGTTTCGTCACATGTGCATTCTTGCCTTTCCGGTGTCCTTCCCTCGCTCGCTGTTGTGCCCCTGTTTTTTATTACTGTCTGCTTTGGTGGCTTAGCCCTGTTATGCGGTGTGTTTTGGGTGGGTCCTCATTATGCCGACCATGTCTGTCACCAGACAGTGCCTCAGAACTCACCATTACGGCGTCTGTAAGACGGCGCAATCGGAGAGGTATGGTGCTAAGAACCTCGGTTAACTATATGGCTCAGCAAACTTCGCTGCTGCGTCGCCATGTTTCGTCAACGACAGGTTTTTTTCATTGGCTGACATACAGCATCACAGTTGATGAGAACTTGAGCCGCGGAAGCGAAATGGTGCTTTTTTATCTGTTAAATAAACCGGGACGATGAAACAAGTCGTGGCATGGCAATTAATAGACGGCCAGTACTTAGCGTACACACGTAGTTGCGAATTTTTGAAAAAAAAAAACGTTTCACGCCTTCTTTAAGAAAACTGGACATAATAAGCGTTCAGCCAATGAGTGCGAAAAATCAACATCAAGGTCCCAGAAGGAATCAAACCCAAGCATTTTGAGTGGAAATTACAATATTCCACCACAGAGTCACGCCAGGTCTCAGACCTGCTTCAGAAGAAGACGCTATAATTATAATTATGGGAGTTTTACATGTCGAAAACTTTATTTAAGTATAGTAGACGCCGTAGTGGAGGACCCAGGAAACTTCAACCACCTGGCATTTTTTAAAAAAAAGCACCTGAATCTAAGAAAAAGGTTGTGCAGACGTAATCATGATGAAACAATAATTATGGTTTCAGTGCTGACTTTCTAATTGTATAAATATTACATATGCATTCCTATGACACAGGTGTCACGCCGTGTTACCGTCAGTTATATACTTAAGTGCCATCCATTCAAGTTTGTCTGCGTAGCACTAGCCAGGGCTGCCATCCACGCAAGCACATGCGCTGCATATAAGCTCAGCGCTTCTGGTGTTAGTAATAGCCATGCTGTTGTTGGCACCGTTACGCAGCTTTAAACAACTGGTTATATAAAACACATGCTTGTGTATACAACATTTCTGTATATCATTAGTGTCGTTTTATAACGTTCAGTTCCATAATAACAAATTGCCCCATGGTTCCCTTTCCTAAGCATGCTTCGCATAACATCAATTCCCATGATAGTGAGATCTGCTGAACATTTTTTATTGGGGTGTCATCACGTATAAGCCAATGCCGAATTTCTAGCTGGCCGGGAACGAATTCCGGCGGGCTCCTTGAGAAACCTAATACCACCAAGTGCTAGCACCATAAATGAACACATTCATTTTCTACGAAACGCTTTTTAAGACGACGCTCCTAATTCTAGTATTAAGTTTAGTTTTGTCCTAATTTATGCGCTGTCACGTAACATTTTGAAAAAAATTGCGCCTTTTACGAGTGCCTAGAATTCTGAATGAAAAAAAAAATCTCTAACAGGGCTTGTGGTTCAAGCACGCAACCCATGTTATCAGATTTTTCTCATAGCAAGCTTTCTTGTGTCCTTTCACAGCGTTTTTTAAATTTTTATATTTTAACACTGGATGACGTCTGCGCCTTCAAGGCATGACCCCCAAACAATCTTTTTAACAGGGATAAAAATAATACACGCAGATCCACGACGTGGATGCCGACGATGAAGCTTAACTAGGCCCTAAGGTCCATAATGTCCACGTTGAAGACGCTGACTAGTATAAAGGACGAATAGATGAACTGACGGATGGCCTAATTTTTAACTATACGGGTGCTCTATCGACGGTTTCGCGCACATATGTTGTGCCCCTGCACTTCGACTGTACATGGTGCCCAGACAGATTGAAGCCGGATGGACATCTAATTTTGCTCCTGAAACATGCCTGCACCTAGAAAAAACGCTGAGTGCTTCACAACTGGCATTGCAGTTAAGGAATGTGCGTGGTATCGCACTATATACGACATTTCAGATGGGCACAAGGAAGACCTATAAGTTCATGAAACAAAAGATTGAGTCGATTGAAACTGCCACATATATAGTGCGATACAATGCAGATTACCAACAATCGCTCCTGGTAGTGTTGAGTTTTCTGTTTTAAAGCAACTTGCGTTCGGTCCGGGCCCACATGAGCTGTTCGTCGGAAGTGTGCAAATATCAATGAATCAATAAATAAAGGGAAACAAATAAAGATGAAGAAGTGTACCGTGAAGTTAAAGGAAAAACATGGTTGATCCCTGCTACATAGGAATCGGTATAACACGAAAGTAAAACGTTTCCTTACAAAAGAAATTCAGTGCTTATTGTACATTCATTTAAAGAGCTCAAGGAATGTCTGTTAGAGTTCGACAATTTCGAAATGCACCATTTAACGTACATCTCCAACCCGATGACTAAATTTCATAACTACTGATTGATTATTGATTAAACGTGTCCTTGTGATCAAGCATGCCTATTGTAGTTGTGGTAGTTAACGGTGACAGCGGAACCAAAGAAAGTGGTGTGACAGCCAGAAGAGCGTGACTAATTATAAGCCCAGCTTGGGCTAAGCTCGCTTATATTCGCAGCATGTTAGTTACGAACGCCATTGCCTGATTAGAGGGAAACGCAACGGGCGTTATGGTTCCCTTGGCGAGCCTAAGTGCGGAACGATAAGCTACATTCATATAGTTTCCAATATATCCACTAGAGGGAACTCTGACGCTAGTGTATATGGGCGCTGTAATGCATGGCACTTCAGCAAGCTTGATGGGTAGTACAAAGATTTGTATAATCTTTGTACTTATGACTTCATATATGTGTTCGTGTGGCTTGGAGATGTTCTGTCATAAAACAAAAATCAGTGAATGTTCAGCGGTTGCGCTTCACCACCTTATTCCTTTAGACTTACCATGTCAAATCGGGCCACGAAGTTTAAAATGGTTTGTTTTTTTCTCCAAAACTAAACCTAAACACAGCAATAAGCAAAGGCGCAAGTGCGATTCACCACTGGCAAGTATGAAGACTAGGCAATTCCGTGTACTACACATCAGTCCGATAGTCGCTGAACGGTCGCAGCGCCATAGATTTTAGGAAACTCTATGGTTACATCCGGGCGAAGCAGGCACGTTGCTCTCTGCTTTTCAGAACTATGTTTGGTATGGATGGATGCTATAAGCCACGCTGACAATTTGGTTGAGGTCGCCACTTGGCAGTGTGTTAAGGCGTTAACAATATTGAACTTCTCCTATTGTAAACACAGCGAATAGAACGGAATCGTAGAAACGATGCGTTGCAACTAATCGTGGGTTTCATGGTCATGATTAATTATGACACATTACCAAAAGCACTTTGAGGGGGCAGTAGTAAATATAAAAAGGCTTATTTTTTACGGCCTACAAAGAATGTTACCGTGGCGCAGTGAGTAGCGTGCCCCGCAGCTGTTGGCGTCGACCGAGAGGTCAGGAGTTCGACGCCCGCAACCAAACTTTTTCTGTGTCTTCTAATGTGGTATTATTTCGACGTCATTTTGTTATGGAAGACGTCACTGAAATGTTGGTGGACCCCGGCATAAAACACAATGATAAACAGCAAAACTCAAACTATATATATATATATATATATATATATATATATATATATATCGTGCTTGACAGCTTTATTGGAGGGCTTCTGTTTTCTCTCGCTTGTTCGCCTCTGCGTACCACCGCCAAGGATTTCCAGCATGATTCCTTGGAACAACTATAAACACGACAACGCCAACAACAACCAACCTATCGATGAGCCTGTTCGTACCATGGTCAGAACCATACGAAATGAGAGACGCCCTCACCTTTCTCTTCGACTTGATGGCTTCGATCTGCTTGGCTGTGCACTCGCCAATGCTTTGGCTTCCCCACAGCTCACGGCCGACGCGGAAGTAGGTGAAGGCCATCGATGTCACCGGTATCATGTAGGTCACAATCAGGATCACAACGTTGTACCTGCGTGCACGAAGTTGCGCTCCTGGTACACAAGCGAAGTGAACAGAAACACATGTTTTTCTCTCACAAGAAATGTTTTTTGGATCTGCGTGGTATACTCGAAACACTACCACGCAGGTGCCCCCTCCCCCTCATAAATTGTTGCGGCACCCTTTGTCTATGCGACTCGCCCTGCTTGAACAAAGAGCAACTCACACCTACTGCAATTAATCTCGAAACTCGTAAGCTTGCTCAGGCACCATTGGTGAAAACGTCCACATTCACTGGAATGTTGATGGCCTACAGACAATGACATCCTAACTAATGAGGTGATGCATCACATTGCATGCAGAAGTGCGAAGCCAGGCTGTGCATTAATTGCTCAACTTCAAGTGTCACGAGGTGATAAGCGACGGTGCAAAAAAAAAAAAAAATGGCTGCTTCATAAAACATGTTGCAGAACTACTTGGTTCACACAGTGACAGAGCTGATAGTGGAACGCAAAGTTAAAACAAAATGGACAGGAAAGCATGTTCTTTCCTGCACCTCTTGTTTATTCGCCTTGCGTGAAATTATTGTTTTGCATTAGCTGCTTCCTAAAGCATGCATTTCTGATTGCTGTTCATGCTTGAGAATAAGTCTTATTCAGCTGTTAAGCTCATGCATTTGCTGCTGTTGCTAAAAGAAATACAAGGGAAAAAACCCAGTTAGGAGCGTCATTACGTCCTGCTAATGACATTTGCGCATTGGATTTGCCCGCTTGTCATATCACTATTTTTATCATAATTTTCAATATCTTTACTTCATGTGGGCTTACGTATGATTTGAGTGCATGACAAAAAGGTAAGGAAAAAAAAAAGACCCCCGTATCTGCATGTAATCTGAAAATGTCATCGAAAGACGATAGACTTGCGTGTGGGGAGAGTGAACAAAACATTTATTTGATGTTCTGTGCAAGAAAATCGGTGAATGGTATTCCGGAGGCGCTGCATTAGAGTGCCTAGAGTGTGCAGCGGAGGCGAACGAGCGCATCAAGTTACGTCAAACGTGAGACATGAGCGCCATCTGGCAGTTATTTCGAAAAACAAAGCGCGTGGCCCTGAGAGGGGCACGCACCTCACAGGTGATAAGGTGTAGAACGCAAAGCGACGGGTGAAGTCTCCACCGTTTCGTTTTAGCAAAGCGTTGGAAACACTCGCTTCTTCGTGAAAGCGGTGCATGGTCAGCACAGCGTGATAAGCGCTACGGTCCTTAGAATTGCTTATGTATGCCTTTTCTAATAAAATGCTAACATGCAGAATATGTACGCGTTGTTATGGTGCCTCAGATATGCGCAATAATTGCTTTTTAATTGACAATCGCGCAAGGCTTGAGCAACATTGGTGGGCGCTGTGGATGGGATCGGCCGTTCAGGGTATCAGCAGGTGCTGTTTAGAATAACCAGTTTGCGGTAAGGGTGGACAACATACATACATACATACATACATACATACATACATACATACATACATACATACATACATACATACATACATACATACATACATACATACATACATACATACATACATACATACATACATACATACATACATACATACATACATACATACATACATACATACATACATACATACAGACCAAAGCTTTTGCGTTGAAGGTCCCCAAGAAAGACTATCGTCCTTAATAGGAAACTGCGCCCTAGCATCTAGTATTTTACTCAAGCGATGCCCCTTTCTCTGAAACTCACACTTACTGAATTCGCATTTTGATGGCCACATCTCGATGCCACAAAATGCTAGAGGCTCGGGAACTTAGATTTGGGTGCACGTTAAAGGACACCAGATCGTCCAAATTTCCGGAGCCCTCCCCTACGGTGGCCCTCAATCACAACGGGGTTTCGTGACGTGAAATCCCAACATATTATTATTATTATTATTATTATTATTATTATTATTATTATTATTATTATTATTATTATTATTATTATTATTATTATTATTATTATTATTATTAACAGTCCCTTAACTGTGCAGGACGGACAACTCACACGTATTCGTCGTGGCTCTCGGTCGTGTCCCCGTCAGGCCAGAAGATGTAGCATATGATACGAGAGTCGCCGTTGGCAAATATCTCTGCCTTGGTGGTCGAGTAGAGTATGTTTGGCAGCGAGAGAAGGCTGCTTGCCACCCAAATCCAGATGGCGATGTTCAGCGTCGTCGCCCTGGACATCCGAGGCCGCAGTGGACGCATGATCGCCATGTACCTGCGGACAAGGCATTGAGGCCCTCAGTGAGATGAGGCACGACTTTGCCAAAAGCGTCCGGACATTAAAAAAAACAACGTTACAGTGCCCGTGACGAAACAAGTGTTCCACTCAAGTCCTTTAATACTTCTTGTGGTCGCGAAACTGCCACCTCAGTTTCATATACAGACAGCGGCCTGAGTCAGAGGCACATCTGTGCGTTAGAGGACACGCGAATGCTGCAATAGCGGCGGTTGTGTGTGGGACAGCCTCGGTGTTCTCGTTTTAGGAGCTTTAGCGACGGTCACTTTACTTTCACTTAGCTACATTAACACAAAACATTCGTACGTGAGTGCCAGATTGCTTCGGAAATCTTGAAAGAACTGCCCTACGGCGTGACAACGAAGTTTCATGACCACTAGAAGTATTAAAGCACTATAGATTCACTTAAGAAGAGACTACAAGCAAAAACAATTGACGTCGCAGAGAGCCCGCTTTTAAATTTCGCGTCGCTCCTTGTTACTCGGCGGAAAAAACGAGCGTTTTGGTTGTTCTGTACTAAACGGAACCACCCACTCGTACACAAAAGGTGTCTGACATTGTTTTCCCACGCCCACACTTCAGCTGACCCAAAAAATAACGCAGCAGATGCACAGAAACTACTACTGCCTTCAGCTCGTGTCGCACCGAGCAAATGTGTAGGTCGGCATGTGAACGATGCCCTAGGTTGCATAGTGGCAGCGTGGCACTATCTTTGGGCATTGTATGAAGCTTCCCCATAGCGTGACAACGAAGTTTTATGACAACTAGAAGTATTAAAGCACTTGTTTCATTTGGGTGCACGTTAAAGAACCCCAGGTGGTAAAAATTTCTGGAGCCCCCCACTACAGCGTCTCTCATAATGATTTGGTGGTTTTGGGACGTTAAGGTAATGCATGAGGTAAATGCATGGCACTATATGTGCCACAAATGGAATATTTTAGAATGATTCAGATGACGTCAAGAGTTTGAGAACAATCAATCACTAGAACTTAAACAACCCGAACAACAGGTAAATGCATGCAGGTAAATGCATGCAATAAGGTAAATGCATGACACTATATGTGCCACAAGTGGAATATTTTAGAATGATTCAGATGACGTCAAGAGTTTGAGAACAATCAATCACTAGAACTTAAACAACCCGAACAACAGGTAAATGCATGCAGGTAAATGCATGCAATAAGGTAAATGCATGACACTATATGTGCCACAAATGGAATATTTTAGAATGATTCAGATGACGTCAAGAGTTTGAGAACAATCAATCACTAGAACTTAAACAACCCGAACAACAACAACAAAAAAACTGTGGACCATTTTCTCGAAGGGAACCCTGATAGGATGCGAAGCAGCAGCGGTACGCACGGCGTTGACCCGGGTGAAACAGGCGTCGACGTGTGGGCTGGAAGAACGGTTTGAAGCAAAACTCGGCGTAGCGTTTACTCGAGTAAACGTTTGTTTCAAACAGAAATACACGGGAGGCGGGTTGGGTTATGTGCAAGTTTTATCGCAGATAAACCAGCCGAAAGAGTGTTTCTACTCGACGTGTGGTAGAGCGTTGCGGGTGATGGAGAGGGCGAAGCGAGATGTGTGTTGTGAGTGGGCCGAGGAGCCTGCAGCTGCAGGCACTGCGGCGAGCACGCGGTGGGTGAGGGAGAGGGTTACGTTAGCGTGCACCTGCGAGGAAAGCTTGCGAGGGAAGCGTGACGTTAACGCGCAGCTGTGGCGGGACCTACTTGGCACCAGTCTAACACCTGCGGTGAGGAGAATGCGTTGCGGCATGTTCGTAGGGACTCACGAACGTATGGTGTTACACACATGAATCAAAGAGCTGCTTCGCATCTGAATGTCACAGTTTCACCGCAAGGGCGAAGTAACGAGTGCAACAGGACAAATTGTATACAAATTGTAAACGTTATACGAAGTGAGGTTGTCGGCTACATCATTTGGAACTCTACAAAACACTGGTGTTAAAAAAAGGCAGATCCCACGTACAGTGAAAATCAATGATATCCGAAGCACAAATGAAGAAGGTTGATATGTCACCTTTCAAATTGGCACAACGTTACGATGCCGATGGACGTAGTACGAAGTAAACACAAGTAGAAATGTTATGCGTACTCACGTATCTATATAAAAATGAAAGTATGTTTTTTTTACAGTCCCGTAACGACGGCACAAAGAACATTGACAATAACAGCACCAGCAGTGGTAGGCTTGTAAATTATGCCGTAAATGACTTTCTTACCACAATTATCATGCTTGCGCCTGGCATTTGTGTTCGCCGTCCATTCACGTCACGTAATACCAAATTTAGTATATGTGAAGCTAGCAAAACTGTTGCGAACGCGCTATGAGCGTTTCATGTAGTCATGTTTTGCATGACAAGAATATCGCGATTATCATGTTTGAATGTGTGATTTACATTCGTTGCCCATTCACATAACGTAATATCAAATTTTGTATATGTAAAGCTAGCGAGACGGCAGTGAGCGCCTCATGAGCGTGGTATAGTCATGTTCTTACACTAATCACATGCCATCATTATCGTGTTTGAACAACTCATATACCTTCGTCATACATTCACGTCACGTACGTAATACCGCATTGGGTGTATGTGAAGCTAGCGAAATTGTCGCGAGCGCACTATGAGCATAGCACGTAGTCATGTTTTACATGACACTTATGTCATGATTATTATGTTTGCACCAGTGATATACATTCATCATTCATTCACGCCACGTAATACCAAATTTGGTGTATGTGAAGCTTGCGAAACGGCTGCAAGCGCGCAGCGAGCGTTGCAGGCAGTCATGTTTTTCATGACACGCATCTCTTGATTATTATGTTTTGACGTGTCATTTACCTTTGCCGTCCATTCACGTCACGTAATACCATATTTGGTATATCTGAAGCTAGCGAAACAGCCGCGAGCGTGCTATGATCGTAGCATGTAGTCACGTCTTACATGAGACGCATATCATGATTATCATCTTCAGAGGCGTCGTATACCTTCCCCTCTAACGCACCCTCAAGTTATGCAAGCACTCTCAAGTTATGACAGGTAGATTGCCACTATCCCTCAAGAGGAAGGTATATAAAAGCTGTATCTTGCCGGTACTTAGCTACCGAGCAGGAACCTGGAGACTTACAAAAGGGTTCAGCTTAAATTGAGGACGACGCAGTGAGCAATGGAAAGAAAAATGGTAGGTGTAATCTTAAGAGACAAGAAGAGAGCAGAGTGGATTAGGGAACAAACGAGGGTAAAGGAGATCATAGCTGAAATCAAGAAGAGTAAATGGACATAGGCTGGGCATGTAGCGCGTAGACAGGATAACCGCTAGTCATTAAGGGTAACTGGATTCCCAGACAAGGCAAGCGGGTTAAGGGGAGGCAGAAGGTTAGGTGGGCAGATGAGATTAAGAAGTTTGCGGGTATTAACTGGCAGCAGCAAGCCCGGACCGTGTTAACTGGTGGAACATGGGAGATGCCTTTGTCCTGCAGTGGACGTAGTCAGGCTGCTGATGATGATGATGATACCTTCGCCATCCATTCACATCACGCGGTACCAAAATTGGTATACATGAAGCTAGTGAAACGACTGCGAGCGCATCATGAGGGTGGCATGTAGTCATGTTGTTACATGATACCCATCTCATGATTATCCTGTTGGCAGCAGTCACATACCTTCGTCATCCATTCCCATCCCGTAATACCAAATTTGGTTTATGTGAAGATAGCAAAACTAACGCGAGTGCACCCTCAGTGTGGCGTGCAATCATGACTTACATGACATGCATGTCACGATTTCTCCGTTAGTGTCTGTGTCTTGTGTTCGCCATGCAGTCATGTCATACCATACAAGTGTTGCAATATGTCATTTGGACGAAACCGCCGCAAGAGCAGCAAGATGAGGAAATGTAAATCAAAATATTCATGACATACATGTCATGTTTTTCATGTTAAATGGGAAGCATTTATTAGCGAACTTCGACGACAGAGAGCGTATCTATCTATCTATCTATCTATCTATCTATCTATCTATCTATCTATCTATCTATCTATCTATCTATCTATCTATCTATCTATCTATCTATCTATCTATCTATCTATCTATCTATCTATCTATCTATCTATCTATCTATCTATCTATATCTATCTATCTATCTATCTATCTATCTATCTATCTATCTATCTATCTATCTATCTATCTATCTATCTATCTATCTATCTATCTATTATCTATCTATCTATCTATCTATCTAGCCGCTTACGTTTGGGTGCTCTCGTGGTCACTCCCTTAACTTGGCGTGAAGCAAAATTAGCATGGGAGGGTAAGATAATTTGACGAATATGACACGCTAGCCAAGGCATCAATGTTGTCAAAATCTCGTCGCGTACGTCATCAAAAACTTCCCGCCAGACAGTGGCACATACCCATGGGCAGGTATGCGCCTCTGGTAAGCGGGTATATGCCACAGGTGAAAAGACACTTCGTATTTACCCATGAACGACGAGAACACACATGCGCAATTTTAACGGCGAGCGTTAAGAAATACCTGACATCAGTAGCGTCGACGCGACAAATGCAAATAATAAATATCAGGATCCTATTTGAAATCAAACCCAAGCATTCTGCGTGGCATTGAAGAATTTTACCACAGAGCTACGCCAGCTCTCGGAACTACTTTTCAAATAGACGCTAATCTTCGCGAAACGTCAATAGTGGTTACTGTGCTGCCTACTTAATTTTGTAAACATTACATATGTACTACTTTGATAGTCACGTCGAGTTAACGTCAATTGTAGTCAGTTAACATGCACTGAAGTTGATTTTATGTAGCAGAGTCGAGGGACAGCGTCCTCGCGAGCATCAGCGCTTCATATCAGCTTCTGATGTTCCTAATACGCATGTTCCAGTTGGCATCATTGCGCAAGTGCAAACAACTGAATAAATAAACATCTGCAACTCTTCAACG